ATTTAGCTATATAGTAAGAGGCTAACGTAGTTTATTATAAGCTAGCTAAGTCTTACTTAGCTTATTACTTCTTATTAAGATCTTAAAATAGTAACTATAAGGCCTTTATAAAGCTAGTTATACTTCTAAAGATATTTTATATCTTATAAAAGTATATAGTAAGGTTACTATTATACTTAAGAAATTTATTTAAGTAAGGTTTTTACTAAGAAAGTGCTTTTCTTTATAAAAAAGATTATATATAAATAACTTATTTAGTCTTACTTTTAAAGTTAGTAGTATAAAAGGTTTAATAAGTATAAACTTAAATTTAAAATCTTTTTAGTTATTTATTAGTTTTATTATAAGTTCTAAGTAAGTTAAGTTTAAGCTAACTATATTTATTAACTAAAGTAGTAATAATATTTATAATACCTCTAAAAGTAATAACTTCTTTATTTAGTTTTTTAGCCTTAGCTATTTTATTCTTTAGTTAGGTAATAGTATTATAAATTATACCTTAAAGCTAGCTAACTTTAAGGTTTTTAGTATTTAGTTTTTTACTAATATTATTAATTATAGCTTAATATATATAATAAGTAAGTTAATTAAATAACTAGAATAATTAGCCTACTATAATTATAGTCTTTTCTTCTTTTTACTATACGTCTAACTACTAAAATAATATATTTACTAAATAATAAAGCCTAATTACTCTTAGCTATTAAAGCTATTTAAGGACCTTATAAAACTAGTCTTTAGGCTATATAATATATCTATTTAGTACCTTTCTTTATATTATATAACTATCTTAATAAAAAGCCTTTATAATATAACACTATAGCTAACTTATAGAATTTAATAGAACTTATAAAGAGAAAGCTAGTTAAGTTTATTCTTAACCTAAATTCCTAATTATTTCTTTTTTAGCTAAATAGTATTAAAGAAATAGCTAATTAACTACTTACTAACTATAACATATTACTAGTTAGTAAGCCTTAGGCCTTAAACTTTATTAAATAAACACTAAAGCTTTAGATATATCTATTTTAAAAATATAACTATAAAAAAGCTTAATATAAAGATCTTAATATAATAAATATATAGTTCTTTTTAATAGTAAATATAATTATAAAATATAGTATTATAAAGTTAGATATTTATAACTTTAATAAGACTAGCTTTATAATAAGCTAGATTATATTTAAAATAGTTATTATAAGCTTTAAAAAACGTTTTAATATAAAAATAGTATAGCCTAGTAACTAAGAATAAGTTATAGTTATTTAGGCTATTAGTTTACTTAGTTATAACGTCCTACTATATATTATTATTAAATATAAAAATCTTTTTTCTATTTAGTATATAAAATCTAGTCTTTTACCTAACTAGGTTATTATAATATCTATAAATAAGTAAATAATAAATAAAAAAGGCCTAAATTAGCTTTAATACTTTAATTAATATTTAAAGTTATATATAAAAAAGAAATATTACCTTTTTATCCTTAATAAATATAAAAGTTACTACTTTATAGATTTTAAAGTATTTTCTTAAGAAAATAATATTATTACCTTTTATATACTACTTTATTTTTTTTATCTACTTTAGCCTTTAAAATTAAAATACTTTAGGCCTTTAAAGTTAGTATATAGTTAAGAAATTAAGAGTAAGATATAATAAAGTAATACCTATATTAATAAAAATAACTTCTCTTTAGTATTTTATAACGCCTTTAAGTAAGCTCTTATAAAAAAAATATCTTAAGAGGTTTTAAAAAGTTAGGAATTATCTCTTTAAGTATAAAAAGTATACTATTAAAGCTAGACGTTAGGTTATATACTTTAATACCTTTAGGTTCCCTCTTAATAACACCTCTAGCTTAGACTTCTTAAATACTATATACTATATTAAAAATAAATTCTTAAGGAACTTTTATTAAGGATTACTTTATTAATTATTTAAATAGCCTCTTAATATATAGTTTAATAGCTATTAAGTATATTCTTTAAAAAGCACTAAAATATATATATAAAAATACTTTATTAAGAGATAAAGTTAAAAGCCTTTAAGAGGAAAATAACCTATTTAACTAATATAAAAAAACTAAAAAAACTTACCTTAAATAAAAAAAAGTCTTACTATAACTAATATATAGAATATTTAGTTATAAAGAGAGGCTATAGCCTAAGTATAAAAGGAAATATATTAAAGTAGTTATTGTAGACTAAGAATAAAAACAGGTTAATAGCGTTATAGCACCTATAGAAACACTAGATATAATATATAAATATATTAGTTTAATAAAAAGATATCTAAAGTAGAGGATTTTAAGTAGTTTAAATTAATTTAACTATATTATTATTAGTTCTTTATTATCTTTATAAGGTAGTTATAGTAAGCTAATTACTTTACTTATCTAATTAACTTACTTATTATATACGTTATATATAACCTATATTATTATTATTTTACTTTATATATTACTAGATTTTATTATATATACTTTAAGTAAAGTCTACTTTATTATTAGACTTTTTAATATTTTTTATCTCTTTATTTAGGCTTTTAGCTAAGGTAGTTAGGTTCTTTTTAAAGCTAAAAGAAGTTAAGGTTATCTTAAGTATAAATATTATAAAATACTATTAAGTAAGTCTTAAGGTTAACTTACTTAATAAAAGTAATTAAAGTATTATAGCTAGTTTCTAGATAGTAAGGTTTTTACTAATAGTAAGTAAAAGTTAGTACTTAGTTAATAGTATTTATTTTTCTTATTATCTTATTAATTACTTAGTAATTAGTTAAGACTAAGGTTATAAGGTAGCTTATATAGCTTCTTATTAATTAAATTACTAAGGTTAAATACTAAAAGATATTTAGAGAATATATTATAAGTTAATTACTAAAAAGCTATAGAAGTCTATCCTTAAGTAATTCTAAGTTTATTTTATATATAAGTCCTAAGTATTCTTTAAATAGTTCTTTTAACTAATAGTTATAAGTAATTACTATCCTTATATTAGGTAAGCACTTAGTAAATACTAGTAAGCACTTACTTTTATAATTACTAGTAATTACCTTATTTTATAATTACTTCTTTATTTTTATATAACTTATACTATAGTTCTTCTGTTCTAAGAAGTTACTTATCTATTTCTTATTTTATATCTATATAAATACTGCTATTACTTACTATTTGTTTATTAGGTAGGGTAATATAGCTTATAACTTATTAGGTTATAATATAAACCTAGAGGTAAGAAAATATTAAAAAAAAGGTTATATAAAAAGTAGTAAGCTATATATATAATAATATAGTAATTCTAAAAAGACTAAGTATAATATATAAATATATAAGGTAGTTTAAGATAGTAATAAAGAAGATAGTAATAAGTAATTTAAATTAATTTTATATATTATAGTTTAATTAACTTAAAGAAAAAGTAAAAAAGTAAAAAAAAATAGTTTACTTATTATAATTATTTACTTACTATATAAGTATATTATTTTAAGTAAAATTTACCTTATTATTAGATTTTTTAATATCTTTTATTTTCTTATTTAAGCTTTTAACTAAAGTAATTAAGTTCTTTTTAAAGCTAAAAAAAGTTAAAGTTATTTTAAGTATAAATATTATAAAATACTGTTAAGTAAGTTTTAAGGTTAACTTACTTAATAAAAGTAATTAAAGTATTATAATTAGTTTTTATATAGTACGGTTTCTACTAATAATAAGTAAAACTTAATACTTAGTTAATAGTAATATTATTTTTATTTCTTTATTAATTACTTAGTAATTAGTTATAAGGTTATAGTTATAAAGTAGCTTATATAACTTCTTATTAATTAAATTACTATAGTTAAATACTAAAAGATATTTAATAATATATTATAAGTTAATTATTATAAAGCTATAAAAGTCTATTTTTAGGTATATTTAAGTCTATCTTATATATTAGTCTTATCTATTCTCTAAATAGTTATTTTAACTAATAGTTATAAGTTAAATAAGTTTCTTCTTAAGTATTTACTAAGTACTTATCTTATATATAAATAAGTACTTATCCTTTATTTTATTATATGCTTATAGTTATATAACTTATACTATAGTTCTTTTGTTCTAAGGAGTTATTTATCTGTTCCTTGATTTTTGTCTATATAAATACTGCTACTGCCTACTATCTGCCTGTTAGGTAGGGCAACATAGCCTGTAACTTGTTAGGTTATAACATTATAGTGTAGTTATTACTTATTATATTTATACTTTTAGGCTTCTCTTATTAGTATACCCTTGTTATAGGGGAAAGGTAGATACTACTAGGGGTAGCAGTATGTCACGTAAATATCACATGACCTACCTCTCTAGAGCATACCACCTGTATGCTAACAGACTCATTGTCCTTGTCCACCACATTAGTCAATATCTTCAAGCCTAATCTTTATCTTCGTGCTGTGCGTTCTGCTGCTAGGTGTCTAGTACCCCCAAGGGCGCTTCAGGGCAGACCCTGTTGTTGTATTATTCTCAAACTTATATAGTGGTGTGTGTGTCTCTGGACGGATGGGTATGTAAGAAACATGAAGCGCGGTCGTTGCGAGCAGAAGCAGAAACCTATGTTCAAGAGAGCCTAGCCAACCGTTGTATGAGCACTGCAATGAACTGCCGCAGATGATTTGTCCGCCGCAGGCTTGTTTCTGTGGTGTGGACAGAGGCCGAAGAGAAAAACGGGGCAAGAAGTCATTGCCTCTTGCGCTGTTATGTTGTTTCCAGTTGTTCCGACATAACAAGGCTGTTCGAGAGCACTTGTTGTCTTCTGTCATGCATTCGTTGCAAACGGAATAGCTTCCTGGTCTGCGCTTGGCTGATAAAGAAATAAACATTGGCACAAGCCAATCACGCCAGAAAACGAGTTCAACATTGGTCACTTCAGAACTAGAGGATCAGCGCAGACACAACATAGCCTGGATAACCGAACTGGTCTCCAATTTCAACAACATAACGCACGTATTAGCAGCAGGTTAGCTCAAAATGTCCCTTCATCGTACATCTGGCTAGGGCTTTCGATAGAGCCCTCAGCGTCCAAGCGTCCATTTGCGTCATACAGGCGCATCATTACTCGACTGCCGTCGCGGCAGAAGACAGTGACACGGCCGAGGCCGGTGGAGTTGAAGATTGGTCTGCCGACCCACCAGGCGATGCGGGAGCCACGGGCCTCGGACGTACGGATTGCAGAAAGCCAGAGACAAACGACCATTGCAGCGGTATCTATGAGGCTGCGGCTCATGTGCTCGGCAGTCTCGCCAACGCTGAGAGGCTCGCGAGCCGTCCTGAGGAAGGCGACAAGTCTTCCAGTCTCATTTTCCGTCCAAGGACGGATCTAGGAGGGTCAGCGAGAGCGGGCCGAGCGGAAGGGCATTGTTCTTTCGTGTCTGACCTCTTCGGGAGGGGGGGTACTGAAGGGGGACTCAAGCTCAGCAGAGGGAGTGCCCAAGGGAGAGTCGGGCTCGGAGTTGGGCTCGGCGGCGGTGACTTGCGATTCATCGTGGAATGGATCGAACTGCGCATCGGGATTGGCAAGTCTGCCCAGCATATCGTCGTCATGGCCGGCATCAATGTCGAGATGGACTTGGATTGGGGGGGAGGGGGCGGTGGCGGGACTGGAGCTCGGGTCCATGACGATTGTAAGGCTGAGTCGAAACCTAATAGTAACATGTCAGACAGAGATCTGGTGATCCAACTGCTAGGACCCTCTACTTAGACGGGCATGACTCACGAGAGAGAATGGGAAAATAGTGGACAAAGAGGCTTCAGAGCACTTGCCCAGACGGGAAAAGAGGGAAGAGGAAGAAAAAAAGAAAAAAAAGTTAACAACAAGTAAACAGAGAATTAGTGGAAGGTCCAACCAAGCGACTGCACCTGCCCAGTGACGAAGGCAGATGGGAAGAGAATCAAGGAGAAGGAGGGGCAAGAGGGGCTTTAAACACAGTCCCCGGGCCGAGAACATCATCTTTGAGATGCTTTTGTGTCTTGATTCTTTCTGTCAGTCTGTCTTCAGTCTGTTTGTCTGTCGTCTGTCCGTCCGTCTGTCTGTCTTTCTGTCTATCTGTCTATCTGTCTATTTGTCTTCAGTCTGTCTGTCTGTCTGTCTGTCTGTCCGTCTGTCCGTCTGTCTGTCTGTCTGTCTGTCTGTCTGTCTGTCTGTCTGTCTGTCTGTGTCTCTGTCTATCTCACTGGACGGCATAATCATAATCATGGGTTCAGACCAAGGCCAGCATCACCAGCAACAGCACCAGCAGCATCAGCAACAGCAACAGCAGCAACAGCAGCAACAGCAGCAACAGCAGCAACAGCACCAGCAGCAACAGCAACAGCAGCAACAGCAGCAGCCTGGCCCCTTCGCCGGCATCAGATCCCTCGTAAGCCTACATCACCCACTCTAGGAATACAGGCTTGGGGAGGAAGCCTCAGACATGCGCGAGCTGTTGAGAACCACGCTAATCACGCATGGTTCCCCCTGCTGTATATAGACCGCCGTCCAAAGCTACCAGTTTTACCAGCACCCAACCGATGCCAACCTGGGCCGCTGGGCAACGTCTGCCGCACCTACCATTACCGGTCACCAGGCCGCAGCCCTCATTCACCACACTAAGAACCACGCCGCCGGTATCACAGCCCACCTTGCCGACCAGGGTGTGACGACGACGCCACGCCAAAACCTGGCGCAGTCGCATATGACCTACCTCCGAAACCACTGGCCCAACGGCCAGTGGTACCCCGACACCTGCAGGCCCAGCACCGACCCGCCCTCGCTCGACGTGCTTACGCCGTTCAAGTCCATGACGCAGCACTGGCTCGCGCACTCCCAGGGCCGTTCGCTCTTAGACCTCTGGGCGCAGTCCCCCCAGCGCGGCATCATCTGGCAGATTGTCAACGAAACCCGGAGCACGGGCCTCACGAAGCGCGTGGCTCAGGAATCTCTGCGTCGTGTCAAGACAACGTTCCCGGCCGCTGCCGCTCCGAGACCCAAGCCCGCCGCTCCCGCTCCCACCCCTGCCCCTGCCCCAGTGTCCGAGCCGGAGCCCGAAGCCCCGCGCGCCGATCCCCTCCTCCCCCCTCTTGCCGCCGACGACGAGTTCGCGCCCCCCGCCCTAGGCCAGGCCGAGCGCCCGTCTTTACGGTTGACGACCATCGCGCTGCCCCCCCTGGATTCCGCCCCCGAATTCGGGTACAGCCGGACTCCGTCCCCGCCCCCAATGCCCGAGTCGGACGACGACGAGTCGGACGTATCGGTGGACGGTGTTCTGGGGGATCTCTTTGGGCAGCCAGGCATCCCGCTGGCTCCTGTGTCCAAGAAGTACAAGAGGGTGCGCGAGCTCGGTCTGGCTGCCGCCAAGAAGAAGAAGGACACAGCCGAGACTTCCGCGCGTCGTCGACGTTACGCCGAGGAGAGAGCTGCTGCTGCCGCCGCCGAAGCTGCTGAGATAGGAGAGGACGGGCTTGGCTCCGAAAAGATCCAAGACATTGCTGAGGTCCTGGCGGATGCTGCGTCGAAGGCCGTGTCGCGGGCCGCCAAGCGCCACTACGGGCATCTCTTGCCGCCTGGTCGCCGGGCCGTGATGACTAAGCGTGCGAAACAAAAGACGAAGGAAATGGTGACTGACTATCTGTGATTATATGTGTGAAGATGATGAAAACGGCGAGGTGATTGTTGCGCTTGGTGTCTCTTGTGTCTGTGGTGTTTTGTTTTTGTCATCTTCTGTTTCGGGGTCAATGCTTGTTTTCGCATGTTGCTTTCTCTCTCAATTTTTATTTTATTTAATCAAGCTCGCTGTTGGCCTCAGGGCGTGTTCTTGCGGCGCCTCCAAAAAGAGGGGCGCGGTTCCGTCCAACATTCCTGGTAATTGTTCTCACAAATAGTGTGGCACGCGTATGTGTATGAAGGATCCAGCGTGATCCGACGGAATATAGGCCTCATTCATTGTGTCTTGTCGTAGTTGCGTCTTGGCAATGAAGAGCCGGTCGATCAGCTAGCTGTCCGGGCTGCGGGCCTAGATCCTCTGCTGCCAGCACAGGACGATGGTAATAATGCATCGCAGAAGCCTAGTTAGCGACGCTGAAAGTTACATGGGAAGACTGGGGAGAGGAAACACGCCTTGGGTTCGGTACCGTCTCGTGTTATGTAGTAGTCCTTTTATGGATCCTTGGTCTCATCGTCGTGCAACGGGCTCAAGCATTACCAGATCTTACGTACACGGCGTGCAGCATTATGTAATCACAACCGGGCATCGTGACTTTCTAGGTAGACGACAGGCGCAACCTTTTGTTTTGTTACCTCGTCTCCTTGTATCCCTCTTCTTCCGTGCTATTTTCTCGTCGACTCTTCTTTCTTATTTTTCTTGTCCGTGTTCCATACCACCGACTCAAATACACCCCTGGCCCTCGAAGCTCGAGCGACCATGTCCAACCCCCAGAAGCACAAGATCCAGCGCCAGTCCGATGCCCGCCGGTCCGCTCAGCTCCAAGATGGCGGCGTCACGCCCCATATTTTCCGGGCAGGCCTCAGGTCCGATGCAAACCGCCGATCCGTCGCGCTGCCCCAAGCCCCCGCCCGCGCCGACGTTAAGCCCGAGGATGGCAAGCCTGGTTCCGAGGCAGCTAGCATCAAGAAGGATGGACCAGCCCCCAGCCCCGTAAGTATCAATCAAATCTCTGTAGTGTTTTGGTTAGACGCCATGTGTAGGTAGCAGATACTGACTCTTGACGATTAGATAGACTTGACCGAGCAGGATGTCGATGTAATCCTCGACAATAAGAGCCACGAGGACAACGAGACGCGTCTACGTGTGTTTGAGCCTGGCATGTGGCTTAATGACGACGCCATCGACGTGATCATCCGGGAATTTTCCGCAAGGGACATACGCTTCGGGCGCGTCAGTTCTACAGAAAGCACCATCCTCCAGCGGTCTCAGTCCGAGCGGATCCCAGCTGCGCTCCGGAAGCGGTTTAGGTCCTTAGCAGTGACCGATCTTTGGCTTATGCCTGTGTGTGACTCGGGCCACTGGGTGCTGTTTGTGGGCCATGGCATGGACACAATCGACTACTTCGACTCCCTCCTTGTCAACGGCTACAAGACTCGAATGGTGGCTGTTGTAAACGACTTTCTCCGGTGCGTATGGGGCACCGACGTGGCGCTCCCCGAGCCGCGGACGGTCATGGTAAGTAAGAAGATTGCGATGTGGCGTCTCCGAGACGTCTCTGAGAGACAACAAAACATGCCACGAGATATTGTACTGGGCTGACGTTGGATCGTGTCCTCGCAGTGCCACCAGCAGCCCAACGGTTTCGACTGCGGGTTGCACGTCCTGCGCAACGCCGACATCGTCACTCGCCATCCAGGCAGCCATCACATTATCCCCCTCCTACCTGACGAACTGCGCGCATACTACAAGGATGTCTACCAGAGGTTATTGTGAATACAACGTTGCTTTTTCTTTTCTTTTTTCTTTTTTCTTTTTTTCTTGTCTTGGCTTGCTTCTTCTCCTTTTTTTCATTTCTTCTTCTTCTTCATTTTTCATTTTTTATTCATCAACAAGCTTTCCTGCTTCTGATACAAAGCTGCGGAAGGACTATTACCAAACTGCCTCAACATGTTTGTTTCCCTTGCCATGTGTGAAGAATAATATGTCATAACGTGGTCTGGTTTGTTGTACACCAAGCAATGATGTTGCTGCCACTTGCCTCGGCTCTTAACAGCATATCATAGATGACGTAAGTATTCCGCCTGAGAATGTCAGGTATGTAGGTAGTTAGATATCCAGATGCAGCTGTGCGACTTCTTACCACCCAGGCAGGCAGGCCTCTCAGAACGGGGCTCTTGCTGCGATGCAAGCAACAGAGCCACATACCCACTTTTCCAGCGGCCGGTTTTGCTGTGCGTCCGCCGCCGCTAAGACGCATTAGGATTATGTAGTACACTCTCCCCTGTCGTCTTTCCTTCCTGGATCCATCCACCCTTGTGATTCTTGCCCCCTTGCCGTCAAAGCTTCCCGCTGTGGAAGGTGCAGACTGTGTGGATTTGAAAAGGGTGTTTTGCTGCTGCCAATTTGCATTTTGGAACTTCTCATCAACATCAACATCATCATTCAACCGATCAACCAGTTAATCGATCAATTAATCGATCAATCATTCAATTTTGCTGCCCTATCTGCGCGGCTTTTTCTCTCGCTTCCATCCGTCCACCACCTCGTCGATGATGTTTTCGTTGTCCACTTTCTACAACAACATTACCCAGACAGACAGGCAAACAGACTACTGAGGTAGGTCGGTCCAAGCAAAGCTTTGCGACGCCCGTCTGGCTGCTTTCCCTCGCTCTTACTCACAATGAATGCCGCTGGAATAGGTACCGGGTGTTCATTCATCCTACGGGCGGCGACACGCGAGGCTTTTCAGCCATCTACTAGCAACATCAGCAAATCCAGCGACAAATCATGTCAAACACGCCTGTGCTGCCTTCCGAGGTCTGGAATCGCATTGTCCTCGAGATCCATCATTTCCCCACCCTCCGAGCCCTATCCATCACCTCCAAGACCCTGTCAGCCATCGCATGCCAGTCCCTCCTCACACTGGCCCTTGCCCAAGACCGGTGCAGGATGCGAGATCCTGGTAGTCTCGTCTACGGATTCGATCTGCTCCCCCCAGGCGCAGGCAATTCAGACGATGACCATGTGCCGCCTCCAGATGACGCGGAGTTCGAGGGGGCTTTTCGTATGCCGCTTGGGCGTCCGACCTTTCTATCAGACTCTACTACCTCTGCTTCTTCTGCCTCTGCCCTGCCGCCTCCCTCCTGCGCTGCTGCTGCTTACCGCTACGAAAACACAAAGGCGGCGTCATTGCCAGTCGTGCTATGGGCCTCCTTGCAGCCACCCGACCTCGCTCTCGCCTTCCTTGTCGCTATCGAGCGTGCCGACCTCAGGCATATCTGGGCCATTTTTATGATCCCGAGCACCACCTGCGGCACAATCCGCCGCCCGTGGTCCCCCACAGACTTCCCTATCCCATCACACACCATGTCAAATGCTCTCCACACAGCTGCCCGGCACGGCAATACCGATGTGGTCCGCTGGCTGCTTGACCGCGAACATCTAGCTATCTACCACCGATCCGTACTCTGGCCTCACCTTGGCAGCATTGCTAGCCCCTGGGTCATGAAGCCTGTCGACATACCAACTGTCCCACCATGCCTTTGCCCTTCAAGACACACTGATGCATACTTGGCCGCCACATTGAATGCTGCTCCTGACGACGACGGCTTACCGTGGATAACAGCGCTACACATAGCCTTGGCACACAATCAAATAGATACTGCAAGGCTCCTTGTTGAGAGAGGAGCTAACTGGGCAACTGCGCCATTTGGCACACGCGGTATTACTGCCTTGATGGTCGTCTGCGCCAACGGAATTGTTCCGTTCCTTGATTACTTGATTGAGCAGGCTTCTTCTTGTATACCTGAAGCCTGGCAACCCTTGACATCTCAACCCCGCGATTTCAACGGCTGTGGGTACTCGCATTACATGTCGACGGTGGGGAGCGGCGCGACGAGAAGACGTCTTGAGAGTCGGCTTGAGGCTCTGGAGATGAGACTGCATGCAAATGGTGGTAACCTACAACACACATCTTGGCAGGTGCAGGCCGATGGGCATTGAAGACGTACATGCAGCCAAAGCTACCCGCCTGCTAATCTGCATCTCTATCGTCATTGCGGCACATTAACAGTCAAACTGGTAAGGTATTCTCTCCTCGCCTTCTCTCTCTCTCTCTGCTTCTATTTTTCTCTCCATACGACACTTTTTCCGTTATACGCAGTCGGTCTTGAATGGCTCTCCTGATGGATGTGCTGACATGAGTTGACCAACCTAGAAGAAACCCACACCGTGTGCTTCAGTTCAGTCGGATGAAGACCGGTGGAAACGCTGATGCCACGAAGGCGCCACACGAAAGCATCTCGAGTAACGTGTGCGTGAGCTATGGAGCTTGAAAGAGACCGAGATGCACGACGGCGAGTGACAGGATGGAGGCAGGATGGAGACGGGAATTTTGCCATGAGCATGGTTGAATGTGGTCGGCCACGGTGACCAGGCATCAGCTTGCAGCCATGTGGACAGTGGAAATAAGGCCGAGTTTGTAGCAGGGCTATGGCATGATGTTTGGATTCGAAATTGGGCCACCTGGAGCGGATCGCGCCTTGATTGCAGAAAGGACCAAGATGCGGCAACAACGACGGCGGAGACTGACAGCTGCACCTCATCCATCTAACAGCAGCCTCTGACCGCCAATGCACAAGCAGCAACAGCTGCATAGGTATGCGCTGATTTCTCGGCCTTGACTGCAAACACACGCGCGTCCAGGCACAAAGGGCAGAGGACATGACGTTTCCGTGGGTGGTGGTGTTTCGTTTGCCATGAACGCAGCACGGCATATTGATAAGCCTAATGAACGTAATTCAAGTCATGTCTCTGCCATGGTTCGGTGGTTGTGAGCCTGTGGCTGGCTGCTGGGCAGTGGGTATGTGGAGGCATCTTCTTCTTCCTCCCAGCATCGACGACGACGACCTCGATAATGATACCGCCACGCGGAAACAATCACATTTGCTGTTGCGTCATCCTCCCGCTTACCTCTCCATCCTCATCCTGACCGACACCCAAGCTCAGCCATGTCTGTTACTTTGGTGACCCAAGACCCCACCCCATCGCCGTTCCCTCGCCGCGCATCGCTCCTCGCTTGACCCTGCCCGCTGCCCTCTTCCTCGTAATCACTGCCGTCCTCATGGTCGCCGTTGACGCCTTTGCCCTCTTCTGAGCCTGCAATCGGACTTTCCACACACTCATATCTCAAAAGTGCCTGGCTAGTCGGACAACCATGACGCCCTCGCCGCGGTCTCATGCAAAAGGAAAAAGGGCATCGGAGTGGCTTTGGCGTTGCACGATGCCCGCGGTCTCAAGGAAGAATGCGGGCCCGGTTTGAATCGGCCATTGGTGATGCGAATTCAAAATTGTGGTGAGTGATGATGGCGTCGAACCCGTTTCCTCGCTCCAAACCCCGTCCAGGACTAACAGAATTTGTGCTACCAGCCCTGCCGAGGACACAATCCACGCGCTTAAGTGTCTTGCATAGCCACTAAGTAAGCTAGCTCTTTGTATCCCTAGGGAACTATCGGTATAGTGTCCTTCGGCTTCTTTATCCTCTGTCCTCGGCCAGCAGAGAGTAAGTCAAATGACGGCCCTAGCCTGTGAAGCCGTGCACCCGCAAAGATCTCTCTATAGTAGCCCCATTAGGGAAATAGCATTGACGGCGCGCGGCTCGCTCTGACTGCACTCCATGCCACGGATCACGGATCAAGAGTACTGTCGACCTTGAACTCGCTCGGCGAAGTTCCTATTTCTTCTTTTCTTTGCCGTATGCCGGTTTCTCTAGCTCAATCGTCCATAATGCTTCATGATATATCGGTTCGCGCCTAGATACAGAAGTGGCAGCGCGCAAGATGCCTCCCTCCTGCATGACGAACTTTTGGTCAGGGTGCTAGCAAGCAGGGCATAAACTCCCCCACCCTAACCCTAACCACCCCTATATCTAAACCACTATTATCACCACTATTACTACTACTATTACTATATATTTTACTATCTCTACTGCTATTAAACTATAGGGATTATAATAGTTAGGTAATTAGTTATGTTATATTATATATAACTCTAGTAAAATTCTATAGAAACAGGGAAATCCCTTTATTTCTTAGCTAGAAAATCCTAAGCTAATCCTAGCTATATAATTAGTAGAATTATTTATTAAGTAGGGCTATTTTACTACTTATTCTCTAGTAATTTACTATAGAGTAACTATATATTTACTAGTTAATTTAAATATACTTTTACTATACTTAATATACCTCCTTAGTATAAGTAATATAGTTAATTACTATAATACCTAGACTAAATATCCTTTATTTATAGGCTATTTATTTATTAATTATTTTTTAATATCTTATATATTCTTTTTTTTTATTTAGTAGTAAAGGTTTACTTAATTATTACCTTATTTTTATTATTTCTTTACTTAAAGATATTTATATTAGTTACTTATACTTAATTAAGCTATAAAGGTAGTAGATTATACTCTACTAAGTGTCTTTATTAATATATTAGCTATTAACGTAGTAGTTTTTTTATATTTAATAATAATCTAACTTACTACTACTTCTTAGTATAGGTACTAGTTATAAATATCTATATACTATAGCCTTATTTATAGTTAAATAAGCTATTTAGTAATAAGCTTAATAGTTTAAGTATTAATATAAATAATATTAATAAATAGTAGCTATTTAGTACCTACCTACTTATTATTATTATGTTTACTAAAGTTATATATACTTTATATATAGTATCTATAATCTTTTTTAAAGCCTTAGTATCTTAGT